ATGTTGTTGTCACGCTACCTCATTATTTCTGTACGTTGTCCAGCGTTCCGATGGCATTGTGTAGCTGGCTGTTCGCTTATCTGATCGCTGCTTACCATCCCTGCGTTTTTTCCCAGATTCATATGCTTCATATGCGATATTTTATACCCCATTGTTTTCCTTGTCGATATCTACTTTCACCAAAGTTTCGATGACACAGTGCATTCTTCAACAGCGACGACAATCCTATCACGTCAGCTAGGCTATCAACCTACTATTTAATCAATTGCCGTAATGTGATGATTAATGCGATAACAAAAGTTCCGTTGCCGCCGTCCCTGTCTCAATTGTACTGCCATTGAGAGGGACAGTGGCAAACTGAACTTTTGGATCGCAAGGAAAGACAAATTAAGTTCGCCGCGTCGATGTGTTGTGTGTTGATGCGCCTCGTGTCGTGCATTTGCAATGTGGGTAGAAATTTATGCAGAATTGTCTGTACAGTATCACTGACGCGACGCAGAGTAATGCCCTAGCAAAAGGTCAGTGTCTCTACATTGACATTGCTTTGCATATGAACCAACGGTGGCATGAACATTTGCCAAGGCGCTGATTGAAGCTATGGCAATGCTGTCACAGTAGTGCATCAACATATACCAGATGCAAGAGCAAAGACGCTGTCCAAAACTCCATGATCAAGGGGATCCCATCTTGAAGATGTTGTCTGAAGCTCTGGAGCTCGTCTTGGCAGCCGGTGTGGACATGAGCGCCGTGGAATCTGCACTTGACCTTGGAGTGGACTTCAACGATCCGCCCAACACAGACCAAGCCACGGCGCTGATGTTTGTGGCGCAGTACGGCCAGGCGCCGCTGACCAGGTTCGGCGACACGTTCATGCCGCATTGCTGTTGATGAAATTTCCACTTTCTCGGCAAAGTTTTGTCCCATTCTTCCTTCACCGCCGTCTTCTAGACACTTGTGTTCGGATATCATTATGCGCTGGCACACTTAAAAAGTTGTGGCGATGGCAGCTGTAATGCTGTCGGACTGTACTTGATGTCACGGCTGTTGCCATCACTGTCGCGACATTTTGTCACGGCCACCTGGTCTCAACACAGCGTTGCAGTTGACATCGCCAGGTCGAGTTTTTTTTTCCCGCCAGTGCCTAACCAGGATGCCATGCGCGACACCTACGCCCACTGCGCTTGGCCGCCTTCTGGTTCCTTTTGTGGCGTGTCTCGAGGCCGGACGACGTGGACGTCAACGGACAGACGCTCTCGTGCTGGCGCCCCTGAACGGCAAGATGAACGTGGCCAAGGTCCTGATCGACGCCGGGGCTGACGTGCGCGTCGGAGACTTCTTTGGCGACACGGCGCTAATCCTAATATGTAATTGCCACAAAATCGACGCAAGGAAAAAAGGTGCCCAAAAGCGCCACTGATAGGCAGGAAACACCCCATGATTTCTTCCTAAACCTCCTTCAAATGTTGGATCGTCAAGGAAGGTCTTGGAATGGCTTAGAATGGACCAATTTGCAGCCGTTGAGGCTGCCCACCTCGCCTGTCATTGCATCTAGAACTCTATTTTTCAACCGCTGAAATCAGCGCAAATTTTGTTGCCTTTTGTCCTAAAAACCACCTAAAAGTTGCTTACCACCGTCCGGGAATGTTGCTGAGTCATCCTTGCATCGACATAAGGATTGACGCAAAGGGGGGGGGGGACTGAGCTTAGCGTCAAATTGACGCTAAGCCTACCAAAATCGGCATAGTGTCTTCCCTAAAGCGCAAAGACGAGGAGGCGATGCCCCCCAGGGGGCCCAGCTGGGACGCCCTGAAAATATCTTTTCCGGTGCAGTGATATTTTGTAAGCATGTCGGAAATATATCAAAAATACAGCGGAATTACTATCTGAAATATGCGTCGAAGTCAACGCCTTTGTGGCGCGTGCTGGCTTTTCGCACGAAAGTCGTACGTCGTATAGAGTACGCAATCTATAGGTGGGGTGCCTCTCGGTCCCCGCTGCGGTTGCATCTGTGGCTCCAACTCCACAGAATAGCGCTGGCGAAGTACTAGCAAGCACTGAAAAGTACAGAAGGGCACTGACAGAATACTGACAAGCAGGGACAATGTACTGACAAATACTGGCACACGGCCACAAGTATTGGCAAGTGCTGACAAAGCACTGACAAATTCTGACAAAACAACTGGAAAGGTTGCGTCCGCAATGTTACATACAGTGTTGGCAAACCAGCAAGTCTGCCGACAGGCAGGTGATGGGTGGGTCGTGGTAACCCAAGCAAGTCGGGAACTTCTCCCTGCCTGTTTTCCCTTGGTAATGATCGAACTGATATGCGCGTTTTCATGAGAAACAATCCAAGGAATCAAACGCCTTCCCTCTTAGGGTGGCTGGGGAAGTTCCTTCACATTCCACAAAAGTTCACATGGCCAACGGGCCAGCTGGCCCCAAATCTGGATGCTGCATAAAACAAATAGAACGAAGTATGGACAAGTAAGTAAAACGAACCATCAACGACCAGGAAACAGCACTCACACCACCAACTAGAAACTCGGAATTGGAAAAGTACTGGTAGGCACAAAAATCAGGAAAGAAGAGGAACAGGTACAAGAGCCACGAGCCACAGGGACACATTCCATGCAGCGCCATTCCCAACAATGGCTGGCTTCGCTGGGATTGTCAAAGTACGGTCATACTTACATCAAATGAAATCTCCAAGAAGGCGGTGTCTGACCAAAAGACAGGGGTGCGGGTGGCACATCCAGGTAGTGGAGGTCGGCTACCCAAAAGCAATCTCTGGCTGTATTGCCAAACAGCCATGGCCAACACAATCCGAAATCAAGCTCCATGGTGGCTGGGAAACTCTGTCCTCTACAAGCATATCGTGCCAATACCCTCCCTCCCTTCCCACATTGTTCCTCCAATTTTTCCAAAGTGTAATCGATGTAATCCTCAAAGTGATCCTAAATGTAATCGATGGGTTTCGATGATGATCCATTCCCTCATGGGAAGAGCATCCTTCTGAGCCAAGAGACCCAAAGCTAGCCTTCGCTGGAAACGCATCTCCCATCGCACCCGTGCTTTCCTGTGCAGCTCTGATCCAGATGGATCAATGCCGATGTCGGATAAAGTCAGCATTTCTCCTCAGAAAAGGCCAATGCGATGCAATCGGGGGACTCCCCCCGGCGTAGGTCATTGATCGCTGGAGACCATTTCCTGGCATCCTGCTCTGCCAAGTGAAGGTGTTCGCAGCCCAGTGTGGTAGAAATCTCAGAGCAAGGCTGAAACGGCGCCCTCAGGAACTTGGTGGCCCCATCTTGCCAAAGGCAGAATCGCATTCAAAGAATGCTGAATCCACAACACAAGGTTGACAACTCACAACAGTGTCCTATTCACAGCGATGGTGGTTCGGAGTCAAAACTCACAGCATTTCCCAACCCTGGCCCTTCGAATCGCTAAGCTCTATGGTGGAACTCTGAATACGCATTCAGCCTCTGACAAGGAAGTTGCAATCAATTCAAAAGATCACCCCTATCTCACAGCCACATGTCCCACTCATCCAGCCGTGCGCACAAGGGTGGCATCAAAGTGCAACAAATTTTCTGTTTCCCTGGCGTGCGTGTGAAGGGACTGGGGATGCCTGTGCTGGTGGCTGCTCCTGTTTCGAGCTCAATCCGGTGACGACCTCTCCACTCACAGCAACAGCAACCTGGCACCACAATCACGACAGCCTGACACCATGATGTTGTCAACCTGACCAACCCCATCGCGAAACCCCTCATTCCCAGGGCTGCCTGTCAGAGATGAAAACACTTTTGCGACTACAACTCCACCAACCTTGCTGGGCTCCAAAAACCACAGAGGGCATCGATCTCCAGCGATCGATTACACTTGCTGCGTAGAAGATCTGCAGATGGCCCTTCCAACACGAAAGCACTGGATGGCCAAATCAAGCTTTAGGGCAAACGTGCTGTTATCCCAATACTCATGCAACAGAAGCAACAGCACAGTGCTTGTATTGTACACTGGTCTGATTGCATTAATGCAGCTCCAGCAGACAATGGCATTCAAACTACTGCAGCCCTGGTACCCCTGCCTTTGGATTCAGTCCATCGGCACATTGGTGGCCACAGGTGTTCACAGTAGCAGGCCCCAGTTCCAAGATATTCACTGGGGTGTTCCAAGAGCTCCACTGGGATTTCCCTGGCAGTGGTCAGGGTGGCATGGGAATGCTCAAGCTGCGCTTCAAGAAACGTGCAATAACTTGACAATCGTGATGGCCCATCAGAGGTGGGTCAACTGGTGATCCATTCACACCTGCACAGCAATGATGGTTGCATGTGCACCCATTCAGCAATCGATGCAGCCATGCATATGAATCAATCCCCACATCCACAAGATGACTCATCCATGCCTCGATGCTGCAAGCCAAGAAGCACGCAAATCTGACTTCGCCTAGCCACGGTGCAGACCCCCCTTGGATATCACTGCGTCAATACAGCTGACAAAGTCAGGAGGACATGTTGTGTGCTGCCCGCCTGCGTGTCAGTCACGCCCCCCACACCACCAGGGAATCAGCAAACGAGATACTCGTTGCTTTCCAAGGCCTTCCACAAGAAGCACGCTTTCCCTGCATCACCAGTTCAGCTTCCCTTCGGATTCTCTGCCCCTTCTCAGCGACTCCACAGCCCAATCCCACCTACTTGTGCACGGCCCCTTGCTGATGTCACTGCAAGCTCTTGGCGACTTTTTGGACATATCCAAAGGAAACCTTTCCAAAGCATTTCCAAGGAAGCCTTTCCAGATGGACAGCTGGCGCACAGATCCTCTTGCCGCCGTCCTCCGAGCTCGCATCTGATCGCCACATTCCGATCCCCACTTCCCCCGGGGCCACATTGCTGGCCACAAATTGGTACAAGGCTAGTACTTTGTAGTACTCTATAGTACTTTGTCAGTACCGTACAGTGCATGGCTGTACCGCTCTTTCTGGATAGGGGACTAGGGCCCCATCACACCCCAATTGCACCCTGCCCCTGCTGCGCCCCCACGCTGCCCATGAGCTCCACATCAGCTGCCAGCCCATCTGCCACCTCGGCCACAAAGTACTGGTGGCCCAGCCCCCGGGCCCCGGGGTCCGGCCAAGTGGGCCACAGGTCGCACAGGCCTGCGGGCTCCTGACCTAAGACCTCCCCTAATAGGTCAATCACGCCATCGTCGCCCAGAGGCCGGTCCAAAAAATAGGAGTCCTCGATGTCCCGAAAGGGCTGGTGTATGTGGCCGTGCATCTGCTGACCTTGTCCATGCCAGAGTTGACTTTGTTGACTTCTTTGCTCACTTTGCAGGAGGCTGTTGGCAAGGTCCACATTGTGGGACTGCAGTGCAGCCGCCTGGGCAGTGAGGGCATCCATGTAGGCATCCCGCCGGCTGTCCATGATGGACAGTGTCGGCCCACGCAGCGGATCATGCCCTGTGGCAGAACTGTTTGCTGATCCGTGAACTGGTCCAGGGGCAGGTGCCCCAGGCAGCAGAGCAGGGTCCCGCGCCACAGTCGCGCCTGGGGGGGTGGACTCGCCGAGCGGCACCTGTAACCATGAAACTCAGGCTGATGAAGACATGCTGTGCAGGTCACCACATCGGAACACTGTGCCAGGGGCATTTTTTCTGATTCGCAACATGTTGACAACAGTATTCTCCTCACTAATTGATTTTCATGTCCATCATTTTGGTAAAATACAGCGAGCTGAGCTTTTCATGATGATGTGTGGGCAGAGAGAAATGGGCATTCTTAAGAGATATTGTGAACTAAATGGTCCCTGGTGTCGCTTTGTGCATACAAAGTGGGTGCAATCACAACTAAACACAATAATTGCATCATGCAGTCATGCAGTCTGCATGACGGCCGTCATCCTTTCAGTGACTGTTTTGGTGTGGTTGACCAATCAAACACCATTGAAAAGGCAGTGGATGGATGGATCATGCCTGCAATCCCCTCCCAGCTACATAGGAATGACATTTGCCACTTTCTACATTTGCATATTGTCCTGTGCCGGAGCCCATTCCACGATTGTCCTATTCAGGACAGTGCAACCAGAGGATTGCATGGCCACATTTGGAAGGCAGTCATTTCCAGAGAATGTGGAGTTTTCTTGGGCTGACAAAACTTAAGCGCCTGTGTTTGTTCACACACACCTCGTTTTTCAACAATGAGAAGTCAAACATGTGATGCGTGCCTCAAATTCATGATCCACGCAGACCATCAGTTCAATCTGCTTCAGAATCTCAGCATGCAAGTCATCAATTCAATTCACCTCAGTCCAAGTCTTGCAAAATTTCGAACCCATTCGGCCCAGCTCCCCCCTCTCACCTGCAGCATGCCCTGACCCCTACCCTCTGCCCCCGGCCTGTCACCTTGCTCCTGATCTGTGGCGCCCCCCACTGGCGTTCCTGTCACCTGGGACCTCAGTCGGCTGACCTCGCACCTCAGCTCCCAGCAGGCGGCCTCCCGCTGTTGCGAACTGGCCATCAGCGATGCAACCCTGCCCTGCAAGTCTGCCTTGCGATGACTAAGGTCTGAGTGGTGGCGGCGCAGCTGCAAGAGGGCGGCCGACATGGCCTCAGACTTTGCGCGCAGCTCTTCCACCTGTGCCATCAGACCCTGGGGTCAGGAGAATGGGTCAGCAAACTATTCGGGGCAAATGTGTGCAGCCGGTTTGGTGCTTTGGCTGTATGAACAGCAGCACATTTGCTGGGTGCATGGGTTCAAGAGAATGGGTCAGCAGAATGGATTGGGAGAATGAGCCAGGGCAATGGGTCTGGAGATGGCCACCAAGACAGTTAGGATTTGATCGACTGTATCCCAGTCCAGCTTTTTCCACTTTTAGGTTTGGTCCATTCAGAGTGCAATCACATGAACAATGCAATGTTTTCAGCAGCTCAGCACAATTCGTACACAGATTGAAGCTGTACACACTGGCCAATTTTTTGCCAATGAACACTGGGTCTGGAGAACAGGTCAAGGGAACAGGTCATGAATAGGAGATCATGCATTTGATATGTGTGAGGGAGCAACATTAGAGATAGAAAAATAACAAAGAAGGGATTGAGCCCCAGGCGAAATGTGAAAAGGAAGATGGCAACTGTTCGGCAAACTTGGCAACTTTCACTGAACGGGGAACTCCCACTAAATTTGTGCACATCGGCATCACCCTCCAATTTGAGATAGAGCCCTAAAATGTTCTCTGAATGGGAAGCTACCCTTCGCTTGACATGTCTCCCTTCATCAAAACCACAACATCTGGCAAGTCCAGTTTCACAGGGATGCCCACAGCCAGGCCTGTGGAGAGGCTTGGCCGAGACTGCCCGTCCCCTTGCCTGCTCATGGTCCCTTTTTTAAGCCCTGAACTGCTGAATTCAACCATCGACATTGAGGTTTCCAGGCCGGATTGATGGGTATAGGCAAGCTGGCCTACAGAGCCATCACACATCCTCCCGGCCCTCCTGAGCCGTTTTCGAGGGCGCGCCCAACCGCGCGAGGGCACCAAAATCAAAGTCACCCCGGCGAGCAAGCCCAGTGTCCATGCTGCGGACCGACAGAAGACGAAACAACCGAGACAGGGAGAGATGAACTAACCGCAGCAAAAGCGGACAAGAAAATCCGCGCGTCGCGCGGCAAGGCGTGAACAGGCGACCGCCCATCCCTCTCAATCCAACTCGTGCTCTAGAAACGCAACCGGCCGTGCGCCACCCACCCCCACCCACCCAGAGGCCGGTCGACACGGGACGACGGCATCGATCCATCGAATCCGACAGTCCCCGTCGCGTTTTCCGCTCCCGCATGCCACCCACCCCGCCCGCGCCCTCCCTAGCCCGCTTTGGATCGCCGCCCAGCCATAACCCGCGCACAGGATCGCAGTTTCTGTCACATCCGGGATGGCGCCCCGCAAGTGGGGGCCATCGCGATTTCGAGGCCGTCCCGCTCGCCGGGCTTCCGCCTGGGGTTTCGAAACAGTGAGCCCCCCCGGGAACAAGGGGAGGAAAGGGGGGGATGGGCGTGGGGGAGCGATCGATCAGCGGCTGCACCACACCCACCCACGTCAAACCCAACTCACCCTTGCGCTTGGCCGGCAGAATGAACCGGCGCTGGTCGGCTTGGGCGCCGGCGACGGGCCCACTCGAGCTGCCCAACAGAGCCTGGCCCCTCCCCTAGCATCCCCTCGAGAGGCGAGACATCACCCTTTCTCCTGTCCCCTTACACTTCCCCATCCCTCTTCTTCCCCAACCCAACCCAATCCACAGTGTTCCATTAAAAGGGCCCCAGTCGCCACAAAGGCGAGCACAAACTCACGGTCCACCCTCGCATGCGGGTGCAGCCGGACATCAGTGCCAACAGCTGCCACGCCTGGAGCGTGCCTGCACAGCCAGGCCTGCTGATCCCTCGCAGCACCTCACAACTTTGATCTTTTCCAAAAACCAACGGGCAACCAACCCACCAAATACAAATACAGCGGTGCCCCAGGCAAAGGCCCCATTCCCACTCCCCATCCACCTGCCCCACCTTGCACTCATCCATATGAATGGCCTGCTGGTCCCTTGCAGGGGCCTCAAAACTTCGATCATGTCAAACAGCCCACTGAGCAACAACCACACAACAACAGTTGGTTGGAGCCCCAGGAAGAGTCCCAAGGCACCCCCCCTTCCATCAATCGATGCCCCCAACCTCGCGCTCAACCTCATGAATGTCCTGCTGATCTCTCACAGTGCCTCACAACTGCAATCATTTCAAACAACCCATACCTTGGAATCACCCCCTCAAAAAACAACGAACGAAGAAACAAACAAACGAACGACAAAAATGCCGAAAGCAGAGCCCCCACCTTGCGCTCCACCTCGTGGATGTACTGCATCCTCCTCGTCCGCGACCTCTGTGCCGATCTTCTGTTGGCCAAAATCCGCCTCTCCCTCCTCCCCTCCCCGCTGCCCGCCATCCCGGTCCTCTGCATCCCCGACTCCCCGCTATCCGACTCGCTGTCGGTCCCCACCTCCTCGGAAGACTGCATCCCCGCCATGCCGATCTCGATCGACCGGCAGGGCTCCAGGAGGGCTTGATCGATCGACCCCTCCTCGCCCAGCCCATGGGAAGGATCCATGTCTGGCGGCACGCCGCGGTTGCCGCGCCGCATCCCCGCCGATGGTCTGGCCGCGGCCGGGGGGCGGCGTTCGCCGGCCGTCGGCCCCAGGTGCTCCGCCATCAATCTCTTGGGGAAACCGCTCCGATCGATCCCGCAAAAGGGAATCCTCACCGCCTTCGACCCGCCTCTGTCTCAGGTGGAATCAATTCAGGCAAGGGGGGAATGTGCCACTGGCGTCTTGGCAAGCAGTGTGGGCAGAAAAACTAGCGCCCAGCCGCAAAATCAAATCCGTCAGCGGGATGCTCTGGTATCAATGCTGCGCACTTCGCCCTTTCTTGGTATCTGGTGGCAGCAGGGCACCAAGGGGAAAGCTTTCCCGCGCGTGGCTTGGCGATGAATCCGTGCAGCAAAGCCCTTTCCGAGGCGCAGAATAAAACCCCTCGGCGGGATGTTTTCCGATCAGTGAAGCCCACCTCGGCCTTCGATCAAGCGCTGTGGTCTCCGGCCAGAGTAACCTCCCACAGGCGGCTTGGCGTTGATTGCGGAACAGCAGAGTCCTCCAAGAGCCGCAAAATCAACCGCTCAGTCGAGTGTTTTTCCGTTCCGTGAAGCCCACCTCGCCCCTCGATCAACCGGAGCAGTCTCAGGCCAGGAGAAACTTTTTCGAGTGTGGCTCGGCGAGCAGTGCGTGCAGCAAATTCCTCCTCAAGCAGCACAATCAACTCCTTCGGCGGGCTGTTCTTCCGATCGGTGCAGCCCACTTGGCCCGTCCTCTTCGTCTTGTCAACTCGGCCCACGAAAGGCGCAACCTTCCCGTGAACGACTCGGCGATGAGCGCGATCAGTACACTCCACACCGAGCCGCAAAATCAACGCTGCGTTGAATCTTTCTCGGCCTAGCGCACCAGGCCGCCTCGCCGGCCGAACAGCCGTAGCCGTCTCCGTCTCCGCTCCCGCCAGCCCAAAGCCTCCCAGCCTCCCAAGTCCCTCCCGCTTCCGCCTATCCGATCCTGTCGATTCCACCTCCAAAGAGAGGGGCCCAGCTCTTGCGGGATCTCCTCCCCCCTCTCGCCCCGCCTCCCGGTGAAAACTCGAAGGAAAACTTTGGCCGCCGGTCCAAAGTTGACGGCGGTCAGATGTGTCCGGGGCAAAGGGCGCCGCGGATCGCCAGCCCTAGCCGCCTCAAAAGATGCGGCCGACAAGATGCGAGCTGGCCCGATCGGCAGGAAGATCTCGGTAGAAAATGGGCGGCAAGTGGCTGTGAGAGGAGGGCAAGGGTGCTTGTGCGCAGCTGCGGGGTTTCAGGTGGGGTGGGGTGGGGCGGGTGGTGGGCGGCGGGGATTCTGGCAGAAGGGACAGGGTTGTTGGCAGGGGCCCGGGGGCCGCATCGAGATACGGAAAAATGTTACTTCGATATATCGGTATATCGATACTGTGGGGGCGCCGGGCAGGGCCATCCAATGTCCGGCCAATTCGTCTGAGGACAACATGTCTAACGGACAAGTCTTCTGAGGACATTTGGTCTAAGGACAACTTGTCTAACGAGTGATCCTCCCTAAATGCGGGCACAAGTTGGTTGTGTACCAATGACACAAATCTCTCTATTACAAATACCACGCGTTTTGAAAGTTGTTGCGTGCGTTCAGCTGCCCCATGCTAAAATCAATTGCAACGTTGACTCTGTCTTTGCATTAGGCGGGTTGTCTTTAGACGAGTTGAGTCAACCCGTCTAAGCAACGCCCATCAACTGCATTTAACCTTCAATTATATTATATTTCATTTATGGTGGGCTGCATTCTGAGCTGGTTCTTGGGGTCGTTCCCTGCACCCGCGCAGGGGCGGGACAGCACAGGAGGGTGAGCTCTGGGTCTAGGCACGTGGCTGGCAGGTGTGGCACGGTTTGACGGAGTGTGGGGCGTCGATTGGCAGCTATAGAAAACGGATATTCTACATGGCGCGTAGGTGGATCGACGGGAGAGGTAGCCGAATGTCAGCGCTGATTGGTAGCGATGGAGCCATTAGATCCTCCGAGGCAAGAAGACAGATTGACGGGAGAAGCAAGCCAGCGCGACCCAAGTCCACAATGGGAATTGATTTGTGGACAAAGGGCGTTGAAGCTTCATGCTCATGGGCATCTCTATACAAAGAACCGGGTGGTGGACTACACCAATTATTAGCAGTGCGAACGCCGTGATTGCCCAAGACGCGTGGTTTCGATTGAAGATGTGGTTGCAAGCAAGGGAAATATTATTACCCTCTACCTTCCAACGTCAGCATGTAGGCCCCGGATAAGGGATGGGCCACGGTGGGCTGACCCCGCTTGCCCTTAGCTAGGGGTGAGGGGCGCCCCCCGTGCGCCCCCCCTTGAAAACGGCTAAGTCGTGGGAGGGGGCATTGGCTTCTCCCCTCCACAGTTCCGAAATTCTGCACTTCGGCACCTATGGCTCTGGTCACCGCTACCCGTTGGGATTAGCCTCCTGGCGCACCATGCACGACTTCGAGCACAAAGCCCTAGCACAGAGAGCCAGCACTGGAGCTCGGCATGCCACAGTAGCCCTTTTCAGAATTTGCAAATGAACAACAGGACTGCAAACCACTTCATTGGGCTGCAATCGATCTAACCACTACCGTCTGCAAGTTCGCGGAGGAATGATTTATTCACGGAATTCTGCAAATTGTTTTTGCCTTTGCTGTACACGATATTCCATCCATCGTTTGGGATTCTACAATATTCCAGATGGAGGCGCCAACGTGCATCCGTTTCCACAAGCTGGTTGGTTCGTGACTGGCGGATAGTGCGTCCATGAAAGGGCCGGGGCAGCGCGCCACCCCGGAAGGCCGGTGGAGGTGCAAGATCAACAACGGATTTTGTTGTATGCATGGCAAAGCATGCTTCCCGCTTAGGCTCTTTCTGGGTGCCAAATGTTGCTAGCAGTGGATTAACTGTTTGGCACCCACGGGTGTCACCAATCGGTGGTCAGATAGGCGGGAGTGAGAGGCAATTTCTGGCCTCCCACTCCCACCATTCTGTGGCATGTTTTTATGGCCACACTTTGGGGTTTACGGGGGCTACAATCCAACCTTGGCGTTTCCCCCCTGTGCCAAATGGAATTGTGGAGGGTAGGCACCAGTCCCTCGCCCACGACTTGACCGTTTTTGTGGGGGGGCGCACAAGGGGCATGGCTCGCCCATAGCTAAGGGTGAGTGGCACCGGCTTGGCGTGGCCCAGCTTTGGTCCGGGGCCTCCATACTAATGTTGCAAGGCAAAGGGTAAATGACGTCTCCCTGCGAGCAACAACACTACCTTGTAATTGAAAGGGGAACACAATCACACAATTGGATATGAGTGAGTTGGTTTTAGGGATTAGGGGAATGCACTAAATAAGTGAGGGCTATCAGCGCATTGGTTTGAGTTGGAATATAGATATGAGTTAATTGGTTTTGCGGAAATTAGGGGAATGCGTTGAATGAGCAAGGGCCCTTGGGCCACCGGCTTGAGATAGAATGCGGATTTGAGTGAGTTGGCTTTTCAGTTTAGGGGAATGCGTTACGAGTGAGGGCCTCCGGACCAATGACTTGAGCTAGAATACAAATGTGAGTGAGCTGGTTTTTGGGTTTAGGGGAATGTGCTAAATGAGTGAGGGCCCTCAGACCACTAGCTATAGGTGCGATGCGGATATGAGCAAGTCAACTCGGGTCAACTGAATTTCAGACGAGTTGCCCATTAGACAAAATATCCTTAGATCACTTGTCTATTAGACGAGTTGTCCTTAGACAAAGTGGCCAGCACCTAGGCTATTTACAACCTGCAAAACTATACAAAAGTGCAATCTCCTAATACATATAACGGGAAAAGTGTCATGGGCGACCAAGAGAATAGGAAACACAAAGCCAAAAGTGAACAACAAATATTTCATTCAAGAGGCAAAAAAGGATATGAAAAGGGGCCATGTGCAATTGTGAGAGGATTTAAAAGGTAGCCTGTATCAGCTTCCTTTGAATCTGAGTACAATGGTGGTTTGCTACACTAAGGAGTTGCAAGGGAATAGCAGAAGCTGGAGAAATGATGGAGAAACCGAGAATTGAGGAAGTTGTTATGGCCCCTATTTCAGCACATATTAGGCTCTTCGATGAGGATCACAAATTTGATATATGTAACATTGTAAAGAATAATTAGGGTCTGTATAGAATGGGAACACATGATAAGGAAACAAAAAGAAAGAAATATGCATTTTTAAGCTGTGTAAATAGGAATGGGGATGATTGTGATTTGGGTTTGCAAGGGGTTTTTGTACTTTTTGGATGTGCACATCTTATTTCAACGGGTTTGGGGTGGTCACAGTACATTTTGGGATATTTTATATTTATTGAATTAGTAAAATAGATGTTTGGATTGGCGTGGAGATGCAGACCACTGATTGGACTCTACAAATGATTTGTGTATGTTTTGCATTGTCACGAAGCGAGCCTTTGGAAAGGGAATCTCTGGAGTGGTCATGTGCAGCACTGGTGACCATTGTACTTTATTGCAAGGCCCACAACATGGCGTTCTAATCAGTCAGTGGCTATGGGTGTTTGTCATGAAGTATCTAGCGATTTGACAGGTGTCTATAAATTCTCTGTGCACATTCGAGCGAGCAGCGTGGGAGAAGGCGTGTCTTGCCATTTGTTTGTGTTTGAGAGTTGGGGCAGTTATTCACTAGCAAAAAAAGGACCAAATAGCACTTTTGCAAACACACATAAAACACATTTTATCAAAGTTCTGCATACCAAGAACACAAAAATAACAAACCCATAAAATTTTTACACGATTGAACACGTGTTATTTGGCCTTTTTTCCTTAGTGATTGTGGCTTTGAGATTCCAAGTGTAAGGCCGTCAGGCCGCTTTCCGCAAGGTTTTACAATTTCCTTCAGTACCTGAAAGGTATGCCCTATCTGTCAACGTACATGCAGCCGTGTCACGTTTGGTGCTACAAAGGGCAAGCCTTTGGCACCCTTCGTTTGGCGTGCTTGTTGTTTACATCGACGGGGTCTTAGTTCAACTCCCTAATGGTAGTGTTGTTTATGCTTCCACTCGTTAAGCGTGTTTGCATAGCCCTATGAGGAGTGGCTTGTTTTG